TCGGTGGGAACGAAGCTTATTCAAGAGCACGCATGTTACACCTTGGAATTATACTGCCATGTAGTCAATAGTACCACCTACATCATGGATGTCTTTTGCCTCCCCGAGGACATCCTCTTACGAAGCAAAAATATCTTCGCAAGGCTGGTAATGGTCTCGTGAATTCTCGACTAGGTATCAAAATTCCGTCGGCAGACGCCGACACAGTAATTTGTGGGTTAATGGATGAATGGCAGGTGGGGCAGAGGCCGATGCTCCCTGCGACTTGAGGGTGAGATGTCCGGCCCGTTTCATAGCAGTCGGATGCTGTATGTGCGAGTCCCATGTGGGTCATTTTTGGTTAGCAGAACTGGCCCTGTGGGATTAACCAAACGCCCGGTTAAGGTGCGTAACGCTGACGCTCATGATATACCACAAGAGGTGTTGGTTAATATAGATAGCAGGACGGTGGCCATGGAAATTGGTTTGCGCTAAGGAGTGTGTGGCAACTCACCTGCCGAATAGATCAGCCCTGAAAATGGATGGCGCTGGAGCCTCGGACCTATACCGTGCCGTCATCGCAAGCAGGATCGCTGGCTATATTTGTGGTGCGAGCAGCACATGGCGGCTTGCAATAAAAATACTCGGTCGCTGTCTTGCGATGTCATGATCCAGACAAAGAGGCGGTGGCGAGTAGCGGGGGGGGGTTGCCATGGTGAGCGTGGAATCCTCCGACGTAGGTTTGGGTGGTGCCGCCACTAGTGGAGATCTTAAAGATGTAATGAAAGGGCTCCTGAGGCCTTATATATGCAATTTATTAATATTATTCTTACATGTGAAAAGAAAGATCTTCGGAAAACCAAGTTGTACTCGTGAATTTTCGAACAAGTATCACTTGTTTGTCGTCAGACTAAATGAAAAGTGAGGGCTGGGAATGTTGAACTAGAGGTTTTGGGGGCAGAGGTTACAACGAACTGGGAGGGAGGGTTATGGTGACGTGACTCCTGTGGCGATAGGTTGTGCTGGTGAGGGGGGAGGTGTTAACCTTTGGATTGTGGACCACGTGTTCGTGTGCTTCCAAATTACGTGCAGTGCAAGGTATGCTTGCTACCGGGCAGCCGAGACTTCGAGTACGTATTCCAACACTGTTTTGCAAGAATTGCTAGTCGTTTCTTCCGTTTATAAATTGCTTGAGTTACGTTGGGTTGAGATAACTAGATTTTGATCACGACGGGGTTCAGATCTTTCTTGAAATGTGTAATTAACACCTCGCGATTTTCAGTGGCTTCAGTCGATAGTCAATTTCACGTAATAAAACCTTAAATAAGATTGTTCTTAAAAAATTTACCTAAATAATAAGTTTTTAAACATTCTTTCTTATGCAGCTGTCTGTTGGGGTCATGGTTTTAGAATGACCCATGCATGAAAAGAAAGAAGCTCTTCGGAAAATCGAGTTGTACTCGTGAATTTTCGAACAGGTATCACTTGTTGGTCGCCAGGTTAAATGAAAAGTGAGGGCTGGTAATGTCGCACTAGAAGTTTTTGTGGCAGAGGTTACAACGAACGGAGGTGGGACTGGGTGGGAGGGTTATGGTGACGTGACTCCTGCGACTATAGGTTGTGCTGGT